GCGCGAAGTAATCTTTGGTGTAAAATTTATGCACTCAATTTTTAATGCGGCCATTTAACACGAAAGTCAGGTTAGCGAAGCGGTACTTTCCTCGCCTTCCACCGCTGTGGCCCGGGTTCGAATCCCGCCTGGGTCAATATGTGGATTGGGTTTTCAGTCCCTACCTGATTCCGTGGGTTTTCCCGGAATATTCTTCTGGGCTTTTCCTCCGACCTCTAAAACTGTAATTTATTCCCATTGTCTTTTTTCTACAGGTTTCTTCAGGCTTGCGAGCTGCAGTGCCTATAGGGCGCTTTTGGGGAAATCCTTGGTTTCATCACCAAAAATGATTAATATTAATAATAATCACTAGAAAGTTCTGATCTCTTTTTTATAAATAATATTCATATGTTTTTAATATTAATTGTTTGTCCCAATATTTCAAAGTGGAGCTGCTCAAAGTCCCAAATTCCACCACATGCACTTTCATATGGACCAGCACTTTCCAAATATCTCAATTTTTATTTCCAGTTTTCTAAATAATACGACAATATAAATCAAGTCAGTGCCATTACCAGTAATTACTTTTAGTAATGACCTTGGACTGTGGCGGTGCATTCCATCGGACCGATGTGGCTGTGTGTTTGTTTATTGATATCGATTATGCTAATCATATGATGTGATCTATGTCTACGTGGCATTCTCGCCCTATACGTACATCAAACATTTGCTTTGTGTTATTTCCCAAGTGCTATTTACTTTGGGTACGTCACACATCGATTTTAATGCACAAAAAGTGTTATTTCCATGTTTCACACCAAAAATAGATTTCATTTTTTAAATTGCTATTTTTCTGGTATAGGGCCTACTACAAAAAAATATCAATTTAGGAATGAAACATTAATGTATACACATTCCTAATTAGTTCCGGCTCGACAATAAGTCAGACGTCTCTTTTGTGCGTTAGGAAAATGTATTTTCAGAGGGTTGAACCGTCCAAACTAGAAGGGATTTTTTTATAAAAAAATCTACTCTCATGTTGAAGAGCACATGCGGATAGCTTTAAAGAACCAATCAAATGTAATTTTTAAAGTGCAATTCTTGAAAATGCACCTTTGTGTTCCATTGAACCTTATTTTCAACTTCGTTTTGCCATTTTCAAGGGTATTTTGGTGCCTTTTTTGGTTTATATGCTGATGCAAATTTTCATATTCATGAGCAAAGGTGTGATGTCATTTCAGGCAGAGACTTCAATGTTGCATCTATTTTCAGCACCAAAAGTTGGCAGAATTGTGGACATTTTGCGGTGACCGTCGTAAATGTTGTTTTCTTTGGTGATTCGTTGTTGTGTCAGTACGAGGCAGTAAGCCAATGAGCAAAGTTTTCTCACAAATGTTTTCAATGAGCACCGTTTTTGGGTTCACAATTTAAACAAAAAACCCCAAAACTGAACAGTGTCTTCCTGAAATGACATCACAGCAACAGCGCTCTCAGCCTTGCCCGAAAAAAAAAAGCATTGAAAATTTCAAATTTTTATAGCAGTGCATTTTCCAATCAAATTAATCAAAAAGGGATGTCAAATAGGCTAGTTTTCATACATCTAAGAGGAATAGAAGTTGCACAAAATGTGTTCCAAAGACATATATTCATCTCATGAACCGTAATAACCAAAAACTGTACCAAAACACAAATGCCAAAAATGTAGTTAATAGATGTTCTTTATGTAGCCTACAGGTGTTTATTTTTGCCATATAGTCAAAGTGTTGCACACTGTTTAGTACTATTAGAGAATTAGTGCTGATCGAAAAAGAGAAGAATTGTAGCGACAGGGAAAAGTGCTGCTACTGGGCGGGAACAATTCAGCTCATAATTAAACGCTCCATAATGGTGACAAGTTGAACATCTTCCATGGATCAACCATAGAGCAAGGCTTGCTCTATGGATCAACCATATGACGTGTAAAACTACACGCGTCCACCCATTCGTATCTTTCTGTCCAAGGTTGTTCCTTTAATTGCTCAATAGATGTAAGCCTCTCATTACGGATTCATTAGCCGTGTCCTCAGGCAGAGTAATTCACCTGGGCCCCGGTGCCACCGGGGAACACACAGACAGCTCAGGCAATTTGCCTTCTCCTTTTCTTTTATTTTAAACATATACCTCGGACGATCAATTATTCAGAAACGCGCGGTGTTAGCTGCACTTAGCTGTGTTTCCGTTAAACGGCAAGGCAAATTTCCCCCCCCCCGACTTTGCGTGTGAAACCGCACACATTTGCTACGTGATTCTATTCCAATTCTTAAATGAAAATGCAAGTTCCTGGCGATTTTTATCTAGTGGAGGGAACAGGTGTCACTGTGCAGGTGCGAATAATTATTTCTATTAGATTTTATTCCTGGAAAGTTTCGATTCAAACCAGTTCTTTCAAATGCCATGCATTTTTTAAATCACTTTTTTTCATCCGGAAACACATTGCAGAACGACAGCCGCACGATAACGCCCGTATTTCATTAACAATGAACTGTATCGATTTGATTTTTTTTGCTGGTAACATTGCCATTTTCTTATGGTAATGATGCGCATATGAATTCAGCGTATGCGAAATACTGAACCGCAGCACGCAACCAGCTAGCCGCCAGCCGGACCATATGGCGCGCAACCTGTTGCATATCTGCATGGAGTTACCACTTGCTCCATATCGCCTAGCATAGCATTGCACAAACACATTTTCACGCTGCATCTTCGCAGTGACAGTAAAACTATCAAATGCACATGCCAATTAGTTCCCTGCACGTTCAATGTGAGCATGGAGGAAGGAATCGGTTGGTGCGAGTTACAGTCTGTAGGCCTACCGAAGCAACCATACTCTCGATGTACACTTTATTTTATGCAAGCCATTATAGGCCTATGTATTAAATTTCCTCGTTTTTGATCCTTTTCAATTTCAGCCCGTGATCCGACCCGTTAATGCTAGCACAGCTTGATTTTTTTTTTCAAATTTAAAAAAAGTTTATAATAAATTCTATAGATCTAAAAGAAAGTCTGTCTATAGATTGTAAGACAATACATTCAAGTAAACTATGTGTACCCATGTCCTTTCTCCATTGTGTACAAAATGGTAACGCTCAGACAATATAGTATCACTTGCTCGCCTTCCCGTGCGTTTACATTTATAATGAGTTGATTCGATTGGCGCATCGGATTCATGTTTCATTTTCAAAACCTGTTTCGGTGGAGTGAAATTATCAGCATATGGTGGTATTGACACATGGCAGCTACTTTTTTTCTATAATGGTACTCTGATAAGGTCAAAGATGCACGTTAGTCCGCGGGTAAAACAAATTCAGTCATTACTTAGCATTATATGCATAATATACCATAGAGAAAGGACAGTACACTCCTCTATGCTTATACCAAACTTCCTAAACGTAGGCCGCTTGCAAGTGTTGAAATGGCTCATTGATATCTATATTTGTGTGGAGTGTTTTGTGGGATATTAATGACAATGATAAAGACATTGACAAATTCAGTCACTTCCCTAAGTAAAGATCAACAATGTTTCAACCTAGGCATAAAAATTCCCAATAGGTGTGAAATTTAAAAAAAAATTAACTGCAAACCATGATCCGCTTCAGGCAGACAATCACACCCTAAAAACTTTGAAACGTCACGTACGGCACCACTGCATTTAAATTTGAAGCTAAAACATATTATCACGACCACGGCTCTTTCCCAGCGACGTCGTGCCACTCTTTGTTACGCATAAACTAACTTTGAAATGATACAAGAACTGAAATAGATTTAGTATTTGCGTTTTGATAAAGCTACAAATACAGCCAGACATACACAGGCACAGATTTTTAAAAAATAATAATAAAAATACTAAACTCGTCATTTTCCAAAACTGAAATGAACCCTTACTATACGTCTCTAAAGCACGGTTAGACCCATCAGCGTGATTTATATAATAATAAGGATCAGATGATGTGATATGTTACCAACAGGCAACCAAAGGATCCAATTTAACACATTCCTACTTCCAAAAATCATATCAAAGACAAACAATTTATTGATAAACCTTTATCATAGAGCACCGACGTACAATAATGTCCCTCAGAACTCCAAGCTCATTTAGATTCTGGATTATGTTACCGGACATGATTTCGGCAACAATTCCCCTTTACATTTTTGATAAAACACCTCCAGATATTTCGACGAGAGCAGACACGTGCATTCTTCCCGATCACGTGTACGCTCACTAGTTATTCAGTCACATCTTAATTCCCCTCGCAAGGTCTTCCTCGTAGATTAAGCATATGATGAACACCACAGCTTTAATGGTGTATCAGTTGGAACAATAATTGTGAGCTGTTCCCCGTCTTATTCCAAACAAAATCGCACATCCTAAAATGGTTCAAATTCGACGTCAACATTTTTGTTACGACGAGGATAACATTAATGTTCTCATTTGTCTTTCATGGTTTGAGACATGGAGCGTGTATGCTCCATGACTGACATTCAGAATGATCGTGAATGGCATTAATCATGCATTCTGATGCCCTTATTATTTTGTATGATCTAAGGTTGTCGACGTTTTCACTCTGCACATCCACATGTCATCGCGTCGCGGACTTTGACTCCCCAAGTTAAAGGTATACTCTCCGTGTGTTAATTGAGAAACATCTAGTGCTCACTGTCACAAGTCATAAAGACCCAAAAAGTACCCCATAGTAAATACATTCAAAAGGGATCGACCTTGGGCAAAGCAGGGGCGGAGGGCGTGCATGTGAAAAATAATAAATTCACTTCTGGAAGGTATTTTTTAAAATATACAATATAAAGTCATTCCTCTTTTGCATTAAACAATGTGGACACATCCCTAAAGATTGTGAAATCAGTTATTTCACTAATTTCCAGAGACCATATGGTGGTTTGCTATATACCCTTTTATCAATAAATAATTTGTGTGATTATTATCGAATTAATGAGCAGGCGATGTTTAAGTATTCGTGTATACGTACCGATTCCTGGCGTAAAGATATTGAGTAGGCAGCAGACGAGTGCGAGTGACATGGGCATGCAGGGCACAGCAGATCGGAAGGATCCGTGTTTCTCCCGCACACTGATAATGACATCTTTGGTAGTGGACATCTGTCTGTTGGAGATGAAAACATGGGCTTCGCGGACACGGGGCGAGCCCCCGTCATGGTCGCCGCCTGCTGCCGCTGACGGGGAGCAGCTCGATTCTGTGGTCAGCTCCACGGTAACTGAAGCATCCTCGGAAGCCATGGTGTGGTGATTCTTGTCAAAACGTCGGGCGAGTTACAGAAAAGAAGTTTATATCGAGAGCACCCGTTCAAGCAGCGCGAAGACGACAGTGTAACTCGGTACTCAGGTTATATACACGTCCGAAGTCAAAGGAGTAGTAGATTAAACGAATGTACTGTGCCTACAATAATGTCATCAAGAATATCACTGTCATTTAGAGTGCCCAGCCGCGTCACACATTATTTCCATGTGATATAGTTGCAAACATAGACACACATTCCCACCGCACAATAATAGCGACAGCCTCGCTTCACATACACGAACGGAACAATACCGTCTGCAGGCTGGCGGCTGCTTTGACCGACCAGAGACCATACAGAGTTCAGGTTCACGGTGCATTGAACACGTTGTGTCTGTGTCTGCCAAGCACAGCCTAGACGACGTACGCACAATGCAAATACGCTATTGATATTGGCGTGACAGGCTTGTAATAATGTTGAGGGAGACTAGTTTGCTCGTTGGCTAACCTTGAATGATGGGCGGTGGTGGCAATCGATTGCATTGTCAAACATGCATTAATTGTAGTGTCTTTTTTAGAGGGAAGGTTGGGGCGGGGTTATTCGCCTCCGCAAATCTGGTCGCTGTTCTTGATTGTGCAGCTAGTGGCAAAACAAGGGTCCACCTTAGTGAAGGGGAGGAGGATGGAGGGGCACTCTTATTCTTGGGTGGGGACCGGAGCACTCAACATTTTTTTCTAACAAATAAAAGCTCATTTGTCTTCGCCAAATTCAAAGCGGGGGAGGGAGGGGCGTGCCCTCATATCCCCCGTTGTTCTTGTTAAAAAAAAAATCAAAACTTGGTAATTGTTCTCATTGTCTTCCTTGCTTTTTGTGCTTCGTAAATCTGTTTCTTGAAGTTTGGAATGACTCATGATTCACATTGTGGTGGTTTTGAAGTGTACAACAACGTACGTAACGTACGTAAAAAAACACCTAATTATTGTTGTGTAATCTTTTTGACTTTGAAACCAATGATGTAAAAAGCTTTTTAAACGAACTTTTACAACAGACATGTACACTTTTTATTTGTTTGTGTGGACAAATTATCAATAAAAATGAAAAAGTTGGATTCTCTTAGACACATTCAATTTTATAGTTTGATAGGCCACTTCCTGTATTTAGTTACAAATTGTTTCATCTCCAAACTGATTAATAACGTAATTAACTTAATTACCGGAATGGAAATCCCCTCATTTCCTGGGATTTCCGACTTGCTGAATACATGTAAACAGCTGGCGAATCTCCCTACAATAACGAAGGACTAATCAATTCAATCCTCAATCAATTTGTTTAGAGGGAGTCAAAAACCTATATCCGGGAAAAAAATATAGAGTCAATAAAAATGTGGTCATAAAATCGAAGATTTCAATAATAAGGCACGTTGGAAAAGGCAGCAGTCGACAAGAAAATGTTTTCACGAAGTCAAAAACATTTAACTATGAATTAATTAGCGAAATACTGCGGTGGATTTTGACAAATATACCCACAGAGTTAGTGACAGGCTTTGAAAAAGTAGAACATAATATTACCGCTGACTGCTTCATAATGGACAATTTGACGGGCAGGCCTCATATTCTCCACTCTGAATGCATTATGCGAAAGTCGAACGATAAATGAAACAAAAACAGATTTCGTTTTTCTCTAAAGAATGCCACTTTCAATGAGACTCAAAACATTCTCATTGATAAGTCCTCTCAATAGCGCCCTCTGTTAACTGCTCACGATGTCTACAATTTACTGTTAAGAAGATTGTCTTGTATTGAATTGGGTTGTGGTCATAGCCAACGTGAAAACAATGTGCAAGTACAACACACTCCTGTGCGAGAGCTTGAAAAAATCATGAGCTTACAGGGCCTAAGGGGGGATTTGAGCCCATGACCTGCTCACTAGCGCAGAGGTCTGAATTCGACCTTTTGACACCGAGGGGAACGGATCAACACTATTATACACACAAGTCTATCAACTCGTACCCGTACCAGAGTCAACTCGTTTCCGAGTCAACTCGTACCCTATTCAAATCGTAATCTGGTCAACCCGCACCACAGGCGACTTAACGGCAGAGCTGGGCGACACTGCGTCATTTTTGACACCGTCGTGATGCTGCTACAAAAAAGAGGCATCCCTGGTGAAGCTCCAGATGTGCCAACCGATGGAGTCCAAACTTAGACGGTATTTCAACAAAAGTTAGTAAGAGCATGCAAGGAAGACTGTTCAAGCTATGAGGGTCCGCTACCAAGCAGGGGAGCTCAAGACTTTAAGTGTGCTTACAGCCTGCAAGCACCTCGCGGTTCCAGCATTGTAGGACGCAGTGTCGCTTGAACGCAACATCAAAAGAACTAATCCATAAAATTGGGATAAGACTTCCGTATACATGTATAGAGTGCTACAAAGTACAAGTCGAAGAGTTACCTGTCCCCGCTGGGATCCCACCATCCGAAATCAGACGGAAAGCAGCGACCTTGGCAATTTCACGTCGTGCACAGGAACCCAACCACTTTCTTCATGGGACCATGATAGCAGAGAGACGAACTGGCTCCCAACAGCGTTTGAAATCGAGGAAGCCATTCGCCTCGGATGCTATGGAGCTGATTAAGACCTCTCAGCCAAAAGAGACCACCTCACACTGGACTATACCAAGACATGGACAGCTCAGTGGCACTCAACACCATCCCCCTTGCAGCGTTTCATAGTGGATCCATCAAACAGCATCCCTGGCTCTGACTTACCAAGGTATGCATTGACCAAACTCAACCGACCGAGAAGTGGAGTAGAACGCCTCAAGACGTCAAGACCAACATGCACAGATGGGGACTTGTCCAGAGCCCGGCCAGCATGCGACTGCACTGTGGAGCAGAGGACCAGACAGTACACCACAACTGACTGCGCACTCCACCAAGCTCCGAATGGCATTCAGGATCTGTAGAAGTTGACCCTTCAACAAGGGAATGGCTGCTCCGCAGCAAGTTTGAGATCTGATGAGGATCAGAAGTGCTGTTTTGTTTTGCATCATAAGCAAAAAGAAGTAGTGCTACAAGACAAACACATCTAGAAACAAAGGCTACGCCCGTGTAAAGGAAACTTCCACCAACAACGGTCGCACAGGTAAGATGCAGCTACAAATTCTGATGAAATGAGTTTCAGATGCCTCAGGTGTTACAAGTCAGTTAATGCATTACAAGGCCTATTTCAGCATCACAGATATATTCCTAACTGTCACTGCAGCAGCTGTGTAGTGACTTTGTCTTAAGTTTATTAATTTTCTTAACAAGTTTTTCATAGTTTAAATTTAGAATTCCATTTTTAGAGTATTATTTCATATTTAGTGAAAGAGCCTACAGTTAATTTTCACCTTAATAGTGAAAGAGCCTACTTATGTGTTGCATTAAGTAGCCTCCTTCCCACCACCAGAGTGACCTTGTGCACTTCCTGTGTGCATACAGAGACCCTGTGTGGGTACAAGTACCGCATAATCTTGCCACATAAACAATTGGCAGCCATATTTACTGACCATGTGATTTCAGAGACAAGTGTTTTCATACTCTTTGCGATTTAGTTCTTCAAGTTTCATCACTTTATTCACTCTTTGTGGACCTTGAAAGACCCCATTTTGGTAAGAAGCATTTTCCTTGATTTTATGAGTTACTTTTAATAAGTTAAAAAAAAGAATTCAGTGGATTTTCTGAGATTTTACAGTTGATTATTCATTCAGCAAAAAACAGATTGAACTGCAAATAGTGTTTAGATTTGACAAATCAGACTTCACATTTTTGGACTCAACTTGCCATGTTTAATAGATTAGACTTTTCCATGTACATTTATTATAGTTTTCTTATTAGTGTTTTTTCTGCTTTATTAAATTGCAGATTGTTATCTCAATCTACTATCAGCAATCACCACCATGTTTGTCAAGTGGCTTCATTGTGTTTTGTGTGTGGTTCCTGGATTGATTGCGAATACCAGTCACTTGGGAGTCCTTTTCTCATGAGTTTGAGAACTAGTCCGAAACTCCTCTGGGCACAAGTGAGCCCTGAGGCAGCCACAATAACAATCAAATAACAATCAAAGTCACAACCAAAGTCCAGTCGTTCCAGAGCATGCAGAGTGAATAAACCCACGTCATGTCGTTACCAATCCAGTCGTCTTCTAGTCATAAGTTTGACAAGTCAAAGAAGAGTAACGCCGGTTGAGCAGCAAGTCACGCTGGTCATGTGTCTTCTTACAAGTCAAGTAAGAGTTCCAGTCGAGCCAGTCATGCCGTGTCCGCTACATCATCATATGCACGGCATCAGGAAGAAAAGCTGGAACTAGCGAAAACAGCGGCTGCTCTGCAGGTCCAGCTAGACTATGCAGAGGAAGAAAAACAGCTGAAACTCCTGGAGTAGGAGGCGGCAAAGAAAGTGGAGGAAATGAAGATCGAGAGAGACAAAAAGTTAGAACAACTTGAGATAGAGAGGAAATTGGCCGAAACCCAAGCTGTGATGCAGGTGTACTCATCGCTGGAGTGGGATGGCAACAGTTCAATATCATCAGAGCTGTCCGGCATCCCTGCCGAAAAACATGAACATATGCAGAGATTCCTCAACTCGCATCAAAGTGATCACCCCCCCCCCCCTACATTGTGTCCATCTGTGCCCCAAAGTGAAAGCGCATATGTGGACAATGCGTCGCTCCAACCAGTTGCCATGGTTACATCAGCCAATCAGAACAGATCTGATGAACAGTCCAGTGCACATCAGTCTCATCACCAAAGTGAAGGAGGACGGATGACGATGTCGTCGACACTTGAGAAGTGCATTACACAGTTGGCCGAGTCCAGTAGACAACAGCATGATGTAAACAAACGCCGATCACCGTTGAATTGGGGGACGGCTACCAAAGATAGCCGTCCCCCAATTCAACAGTGATCCACTCCAGTACCCCCTGTGGCGGAACTCCTTCAATTCCCTTATCGACAGCCAACCCCTTGACGCTGACACCAAGCTTAACTACCTCAATCAATATGTGTCGGGGAAACCAAAGCACCTAGTGGAGCACTACATGATCATCGGCACTGAAGAGGCCTACACGCAGGCAAGAAAAGTATTGAACGAGAGGTACGGAAACAGTAGTGTAGTGAGCACTGCTTTCATAAGCAAACTCCGTCAGTGGCCGAGGTTAACGCCGAGGGATGCAGCAGGCTTGAGAGATTTCTCTGATTTTCTGGGGAAAGTAGAGGCAGCACGAGCAACCACAGCAAGCCTTGGAGTGCTGGACTACGCCAGTGAGAATGCTCGTCTAGTCGAGAAACTGCCATTCAACCTTGAGACAAAGTGGCGGGACAAGATTGACTATTGGAGACAGATTCGTGGTCAGGATTCCTTCCCCCCATTCAGCGAGTTTGTCAAACTTGTGAAGATTGCAGCAGACAGGGCAAACATTCCTGCATTGCAGAGCGTGGTTCGAAGTCAGGACAAACAACGTTCAAATGCAGGAAGTGCTCCGAAAAAGAATACCAGTGTTTTTGCGACTAGTACCAGTCGAGGTGAACCAACAAGCGGAGTGCAGTTGTCCAGTGACAATAGTTGTCTCTTCTGCAATAAGCATCATCTCCTGGACGACTGTGAGCGCTTTCTGCGCAAGCCTTTCGCTGAGCGAAAGGATTTCTTCTTCAAGAAGAGACTGTGCATGGGCTGTGCACGTTCCAGTGATCATCAAGTGAGAGAGTGTAACGACAAAAAAGTTTGTCGGATCTGCGCTGGTGCCCATTTGACCTGTCTCCATCGCAACTTCCAACAGAGACGGCCAGAAGAAACTGCTTCAAGTTACCCCCAGTCAGCAACAGCAAGTAAACAACCAGCTGACAAAGTTCCAACCAATTCATCCCCACCCAAAGAAGTCATTGCTGTGCACCCCAAACGAGATGAGGGAATGTCCAACTGTATTCAAGTGTGTTCCCAACCAGACCAAGAAGGAGAAGGTGACCACTCCATGATTATACCAGTGTTGGTTCGTAGTGAGAGTGATCCAGCGAGGGAGTTCCTCGAATATGCCATCTTGGACGAACAATTCAACGGTTGCTTCGTGTCAAAGAGTTTGTGTGAAAGGATGAACCTGCAGGGACCAGAGACGCAGTTACTACTCAGTACAATGCAAGAGCAAAATGTGCAAATCACCAGCAGTCGCATATCCGGGCTTGAAGTGCTTGATGTCAACAGAGAGCACACTGTTAAACTTCCAGTCTGCTTCAAGCGGGACAGCGTTCCAGCCAAGAAATCCCAGATACCGAAACCTGCGGTTGTGCATCAATGGCCCCACCTGAAGTCTCTAGGAGAGAAGCTCATGCCCTATGACCCAACCCTGCAAATATCTCTTCTCATCGGGAGCAATTGTCCCAGAGTAGTTCGACCCAGGGAAATCATCGCCGGTGGTGAGGATGACCCTTACGGCCAGAGGTCACTACTGGGCTGGGGAGTGATTGGGAACGTTTGTAAGGGTTCACAACAAACCCCACCAGCAGTATGCAACAAAGTGGTTGCTGCTGAGCCACCAGGCTGTGCGAACATGATGGCAAGTGAACCGTATTCCCACTTTGTTTATGGCACAAGAACAAAAGAAATCTTCAATGTAGACAAAGTGCTGAGAGTTCTAGAGTCCGATTTCTCACAGACGAGTGTCAAGGGCAAACCCTACTCTGCCGAAGATTCACGCTTCATTAGTGTCCTGGAGGCCGGTGTAAAGAAGCGATGCTACAAACCAGAAAACTTTGGCTGTGTGAAGCTCATCGAGCTCCATCACTTCTCAGACGCAAGTGAAGAGGGATATGGCCAGTGTTCGTATCTTCGTCTGGTGAATGAGAGGAATGAAGCCCATTGTTCCTTTGTGATGGGAAAGGCAAGAGTCACACCGCTGAAGCATGTAACTATCCCAAGGCTTGAGTTAGCTGCTGCTACAGTCTCAGCGCGGACGAGTGAGTTCATGCGTGCAGAGCTGTCATATCAGGGGATGAAAGAATTTTTCTGGACTGACAGCAAAATTGTACTTGGCTATGTAACCAACGACGCCAGAAGATTTCATGTGTATGTTGCAAATCGTGTCCAGCAGATCCGTGACTCATCTGATCCTTACTCATGGCAGTATGTTGACACCAGATGCAACCCAGCTGATGAAGCATCATGTGGGCTGACTGCATGGCAGTTAGTTGAGAAGTCTTGCTGGTTGACTGGGCCAGAGTTTCTTCAGAAGGATGGGCCTACAGAGATGTCACAAGTGACAACACCGAAGTTGGATGAGGCCGACCCCGAAGTCAAGCGAGTTGCAGCAGTGTCTACCCGCACAAAGAGTGCAAACATCCAGTTTCCAGATCACTTCGAGACGTGCCGACTTGATCGTTTCTCCACTTGGCATCGAGCCAAAAGAGCCATTGCAACCTGCCTGAGATACAAGAGGAGACTTCGTCGAGGTAAAGTTGATGGCAAGTATAAGGTTCCAGTGGTTGAGGTGCATCCACCACACATCAGTATAGAAGAGATAGAAGAAGCCGAGACAGAGATTCTCAAGATTCTTCAACAACAGCACTTCAAGAATGAAATCCAAGCTCTCCAACAACTAGGGAAAGAAGGGGAATTCACAAGCCGAGAGTCGGCAAGAACTCGGAACCAGGCCATCAAGAAGTCAAGCTCCCTGTATAGGCTGGATCCTTTCCTAGACGAGCAAGGTGTGCTCCGTGTTGGAGGACGTATAGACCGAGCCAGAGTGTCAAGCAAGATCAAACATCCAGCCATCTTGCCTCGAAAAGACCA